CTTAACGCGATTATTTATTATTAAATCAGCTTTGCGAATCATTCGTTGAAATCTGTTCGTACACGGAATTATTTAAATTAAAATATCATTTACGAACTTTGTTAATCTTCACTGTACACCTTGCATAAAAATTTCATATGGTACACATTAGGTGTCATGCACACCAGAAAATTAAAACGACTGTCACGGTTAAACTACATATTATTTCGAGTCCGAAAAATTAGTGAATATTCTTCAGACGTTCTAAAGTAAAGGTGAACAGCGTTTTTCTTAAAAATATCACTGTTATGTAGTTAAAAAAATCCGGAAAGTTCTCGCTTCGTGACTTGTTCAATACTTCGAACGCGGCTCGAGTCCGTCCCGACATTCTGTCAAAGTCTCGTGCTGCGGACTCTCTCGCGGACCCTCTCTCTCGCACCGTCATCTCTCATTGGCCAGTGTTTTTCGTTAATAACTCGTAAACAAAGCCGTGGATTGCATTTTCGCAAAGGAAAAAGTTACTTCAAATGACCTCAGCTACCCCTCATTTTCGGCTGTTAAAATAATTGTGGGACACCCTGTATACCATTCTGTATACCATGTATACCATTCTGTATACCATTCTGTAAACTTTTCTATGTACAGGGTGATCCATTTAAATCGATCCAAGCAAATATCTTCTAAACTAATGATTTTTCGCAATAAATGCATTAGTATTTTTTTAATGAGAATGACGAGCCGAATCGACTAAATAAAAAAAATGTGATTCCATTAAAAAAAGAAGTGAAGTTCATATGTCCTCGTCTCGCGTTCACCTAGAAACATCTTAGTAATATCAGATTATATGCCACTTAAAATCATTCAAATTTCGTTTGAAACATTTCTCATCTTCAACGGTTTCGAAGATATTTATAATAACTGGAACGGTCTAAATGAGTCAGCCTGTATGTACAACGATATATCTTAATACGTGATACGAAAATTTGTTCACATTTAACCATATTAAAACAATATGTAAATTCTTCAATTCGGTTTGAAAAGTATCAGTTTGAGATAAAATCTGAACTGCGTCGATAATATATTATATAGGGTGTTTATTTTATCTTTCGCACGCGTAATATTTTTGTTATGCCTGATATTAGAAAAATAATTGCTTGATTTCATGGAACGAATATAAAAGCAGGACATTGTTTTCAAGATCATCGTCGATGTTTTAAGTGGGGCAATATATTTTCCTTAATCCAATATCGTAGTTCAAAAAAAAATAAAACGAATTTATCCATGTATAATATCCTAACTTTTAAATGATCTTATAATACACACGTGATTATAAATCACGTTTAAAGAATCGACCACGATCTTGAAAACTGGACTTAAAATGACCTTGGAGAAAGATGTCCTAGCTTTATACTCGTTCTTATTTCTAATTTTTTATTTTGAAATTATTTTTACGTTGTTTATTTTTGATTTGTTAACGTACGTATGTTCAAGAGCCAAAAGTATCTTACACGTCAGCGCATTTCAGAGCGTTAAACATTACGCCAAATTCGGTGGGATCCTTACATCTGTCGCAGTTACAATACGCATATCTTTTAAGGAAGAGTTTAGAGTTCCTAATTTTAGTACCCCATAACGGGTTTATATAGCTCAGGGTTATGTGATCTCCTGAAACACAGAATGTAATGGTGGCCTTTATGTGATTCTATTTAAAAACACTAACTTATAGGTTAAGTGTATGAATTACTGTGCCCATTAAAGCGACGTCCAAAGTATTCGACAAATTAAACAATTTTTTTTTATCTATATCGCAATTCCTGAAACATTTAAATTATACATTTACATTATTATGTTTCACTAAAGCAATATCTTAACGATATCGTTAACGATACTCAAAGATACAATCTGTCGGAGGGACAGATTGTATGGTTTGAAGGGGCGCATGTTGCAGTGGAAATAATATCTTTTTAAAGGTCATACTTTTTCGTGACTTCAAGATCATCGATGTTTTCTTTTTTCAAATGGGATTAGGTATTTCTATCTGTATTCCATGACAGCTAAGATCAAGACGAATCCAATGACCTATAGTAATATGACCGTCGCGTGACCTTGAGTCGGTCGAGCATCGCATTGCTCGTTGCGTTATGAATTGTCGCGCCGAAATCGTGGTGTGTGACAAATTGTGAAAGTCACGGAACATCGCTCAGACGTACAATAAATAAGTCAATATGCCCAAAGTTCATTTCGAGGAGAGATAACAAGTAAAAATATCTAGTACATTAGAGAATCATTCCGTAGATATGAAACTACACTACTACGTCCAACAAGAATTAGCACAAAATATAAACAGTTGCACACGAGCGACGCGTGATCAAGTCAGCGTCGATAATAATTTTCAGGTCCATCTACATGAGGCTACTCTGTGAGCAAGGGCCGCAGCATCGATCACGTAAACGTTCTGTTTACATTTTGTGTCGGTTCTCGTTGAACGAAGTGTAGTGTTAGGTGAACTGCTGACCTGTATGCAGCCAAATATCTTGAGAGATTACCAAAATCGCACATCATATTTAACACGTCGAGCGTCGCGTCAGGTAAATATAGGTAACACTAATTTTTGACCAATTTTGAAAATTCATTTTCATTGTAATATATTTGAACATACTGAATTTGACTAGGACATTTCGGGTGCGATGGAGTTCTAATGTTATCCACTATGATAAATTTTAACTTTCTAGTTTCGATTGAATTAATTAAAAAATTGCTTTGACTTTTTGTGAGAATTTTAGTGGTTGATCGTCGACGCTGAACATGTTAAAAGTTTTTTTTCAACGAAACCGATATTAAAACTGAATTAAGAAGTATGTATGTAGAAGTCAATGGAAATAATTTTGAATATTCATTCCAATAAATTTTTCATCGTTGTTCTTTTCGTTGTAGTTATTTCAGCATTCGTGTACATTTCTAAATGTTTTAACATTTACTTATACAAAAGGTCACGCGAAGGTCATTGCATTTGTTTCTATCTTAGCCACCATGACATAATGATAGAAATATACAGGGTGTCCCAGGTTTTAATGTTCAAACTTTGTCAGTATATCCTATGGCACAAAGTAAGAAAAAAATGTTATGTAAACATCTGTCTCTTATACACATCTAGATGTGTATAAGAGACAGCTTCTTAATAAAGCTCTATATGACCTATGTTTACATAATATTTTTTTCTTACTTTGTGCCATAGGATCTGTCTCTTATACACATCTAGATGTGTATAAGAGACAGCTTCTTAATAAAGCTCTATATGACCTATGTTTACATAATATTTTTTTCTTACTTTGTGCCATAGGATCTGTCTCTTATACACATCTAGATGTGTATAAGAGACAGCTTCTTAATAAAGCTCTATATGACCTATGTTTACATAATATTTTTTTCTTACTTTGTGCCATAGGATCTGTCTCTTATACACATCTAGATGTGTATAAGAGACAGCTTCTTAATAAAGCTCTATATGACCTATGTTTACATAATATTTTTTTCTTACTTTGTGCCATAGGATCTGTCTCTTATACACATCTAGATGTGTATAAGAGACAGCTTCTTAATAAAGCTCTATATGACCTATGTTTACATAATATTTTTTTCTTACTTTGTGCCATAGGATCTGTCTCTTATACACATCTAGATGTGTATAAGAGACAGATGTTTACATAACATTTTTTTCTTACTTTGTGCCATAGAATACACTAACAAAGTTTGAACATTAAAACCTGGGACAGCCTGTATAATCCTATTTGAAAAAAAAAACAACGATGACCTTGAAGTCTCGCAAAATATGAACTTTAAGAAAAGAACTATTTCCACCGCAATATGTGTCCCTTCGAACCATTCAAATTGTTCTTCTAGCAGTTTTGAGTATCGTTAATGATAACGGAGGTATTGTTTTGTAACAGCTTTAATAAAACATCCTACGTTGATGTCTTTTATCTAAATGCGAATTTTTTTATAATTGAAATATATAAAGAACTCAAAATGTTTAACAAAATATACAAAACCGTTGTTGAGAAAGTGTACAGTGCCCTTAGAAAGATAAGAGATTAATTATTGAGTATCAGTTACCCCCAGACTTTCCTAGTTACCGTATGTCAATTTCTGTACACTGATCTAGTAACTGTGTGTCAATTTCTGTACATTGATTTTATTATTGTTATTGTATGCCTATATCTGTACACTGATCCAGTTACTGTGTGTCAATTCCTGTACATTGATTTTGTTATTGTGTGTCAATGTTTGCACGCTAATCTACTCAGCAAGTCCTAAATTTGTTATGAATTTGACAATACACATTTGTGCCAAATACCGAGCCATCTGTTTCTACATATCGCACGGATTTGACACCAACGTCTTGTCCATGCCAAATAGTGGCCAAATCCAGGGCAAACATTATAGCGCATTAAACGTTACTTCGCTACAAGATTTCGCGAAGATTTGCCACTGATTTGGCAACGCAAAGTGTCTGGTGCCAAATATCGAGCCATCTGTTTCCGTACATCGCAAGAATTTGGCTTTGGCAAAATTCATATCAAATGCGATCTAAATTCTCCTTCTAGCAAAGTTTTGGCATCAAATTCACGTAAATATTTCTTCGCAAACTACACTACCAAGAGAATTTTATATGTATATAATCGAAGCAGACTTGGCTGACTGAGTAATTATTGTGGTCACTTCTAGATAAATAATCCTATAACAAAAATGTAGAGAAGCATGAAATATTCCGTACCAAATTATTTAGCATAATTTATTATATGCGTTTCAATACTGACGATATTATTCAAAACAGGAAAAAAAACCACGTGCGTTGCGTGCACGCGGACCAAGAAAGCAAGGTTGGAAGTAACACGTGGTTTGCCATGAGAGGGCTCAGTAACCAACGTAAAAAAGACTTGAAAATATAATCCAGTTAAAGTTTGATGAATATAATAGTTTATATTTTTCTTTTAGAAAGCATCGTTTTTGTATGTTTTTCAACGTCATTTTCAACGTGTTCCTTAAGTTTTCTTTTTTAACATGATCAAGGCAAAAACATATAAAATCATTATCAGAAATTTAAAAAATTAGTTTCCGCATATTATTGGTCTTAAGAAGTCAAAATTTTGATTATGAAAAATGCAGATCAAATTTCGTTTAAAAAATTCAGTATCTATAATTTAATAATGTTGGTTTTAAGTATAAATGATATTATTGTATAGGCACAGTATCCATGTGAGCACAGTAATTGACACATTTACCCTATATTAAAATTACGTAAGTCACAATGTGAACTTACCTTTAGCTATAGGTGTCACGGCCTGAACAATGAATTCATTTTCACTCGACCACATTTTCGTACAGTTTGGTCTACAACTGTGCTCAGTAAATGACGATAACTCGTAAACTGCAAGATGTGATGGTTTTGCTCGGGGAACTGTGAATCCGTTGAGCTGCAATTTATCAAGTTGCGTTTTCGTAATTTTTTGAACATTTAAGTAAATGTCATGAGTGTTACTGTTACCGCTATTCATTGGTAAAAACGTAGGGCAGAGTCAATAAATAAGGAATAGCATCCAAAGATATGTCTATGTGTGCAATTGTGCTATTTTGAAGGATCTAACGAATTAATATCGATGAGGTCCGTGGCATGTAGTAGTTGGTCAGTCGAATAAATTGATAATCCATAATTTAATTGAAATTTGTGAATTTAATAATAAATAACTTAATTGACAAGAGACTGGGTAATCGTTCTTTCATTTGTCGATATTAGAAAGTAAAGTACTCTCTGCTAATGGTTCGGTATACATGGTTGTAGAGCAATATACATTGCATCCCAAAATTATGTTACTTTCGGGAGATGAGGGTTTCCTGAAGTCATTTGAAGCAACTTTTTCCTTAGCGAAAACGTAATCCGCGGCTTTGTTTACGAGTTATTAAGGAAAAACAGTGACCAATGAGAGGCGAGCTCGGCTGGCACAAGACGGCCGAGCCAACGAGCGGACGCAGTCCAGTTCCGCGTATTGGCTCGATCGCCTCGCGTCAACTGATCTCGCCTCTCATTGATCAGTGTTTCTCATTAATAACTCGTAAACAAAGTCGTGGATTGCGTTTTCGCTAAGGAAAAAGTTGCTTCAAATGACCTCAGGTAACCCACATTTCCTAGAAGTAACATATAATCTTGGCACACTCTGAATAATATCCATACGTTTTCAAAAAAGTACGTGTGTTCGTTTTTAAAACAGAATATTTTTAACTTTGCGATATTCGAAATATAGAATTATAGGCACAGAGAATATTACGAAGAATTTTGTACTCGTTTGTTTGCAAAAATACTGATTTACAATTCCTTCAACTAATAAGTTAAGCATTTTCCCTTGTTTGTATTTTTCATTTTCTATGAAAATTATTCATCTCTTTTCAATTCTGTTAAGGAACGTACCTGCAGGATTATCGTGACTTTCATGATCTCTTCGTCGGTTATGTTTTCCATTTTAAAATACTTTCTGATGATAGAAATCATATTTATCATATCTTGGAGGTCCTCGAGCTCACTATTTGGTCTCGCGAGCGACATCACTTTTTCATAAGCTGGTGGATCGGCATCTTTCATAGATAATATTTTTATAACATTTATGCTTTCATAAAGTGGGTTTAGAACATTTATATGATCACTATCTGGACTTGTGCTGCTGAACTCAATGTTCGCTAGCTGCAACATCGAACAAATATTTGTACGTGAAATTCCACACAATATGGCACTCAAACATAAATGAACGGTTAAAAATATACAATAAATCCTGTTCTACAGGTTTTGCACTCGACAGTAATTCTTCCTAAATTATATTCAACTCTCAGCAAATCAAATTAACCATTTTGCAAATAAAATTAATCCTTTCACAGATAAAAAATGATAGTAATTTATTCAGTATTTAAATTTAACATGCGTTTTATTACAAATAATTGCAGGTATGTTTTATTTGAACCCACAACCCACAAAAGTGATCATTTCATTAGCGAAAAGTAGAATATGATCTACATAATGATTAACTTTTAGTGCACAAGCTTTCGAGATTTTTATACCTTTCGAATGTTATACATTTCGAGCATTATACCTTTAGAATAGGTATACAGATTTTGCATATCAAATTCAACTTTGCGCGGGTCACATCCACCTTTCTCCAGATCACGTTCATGCTTTTCGAGATCATATTCATCTCATTTCAAATAAAATAGACGCTTTCGCGAATTAAATTTATTTTGCGAGCACAAATATTAAATAAATGTTTCACATTCGCTATATGTTTGCACAGGCAGAACAAAATTAGAAATTTCAGAACAATTTTGTATCGAATGTGGGAGAATTTGATTTGTGAATAGGTGAATTTAATTTATGGAAGGATGAATTTTATTTCGAAACAGATTCGACTAGTTTCAGTGTTGAGTGTTGACTTCGTAAATGTTGCGTTTAGAGGTGGCATCTCGGATGACCTTGAAATATGCTGTCAAGGTCAATCAACATTCTGAATAACTTTTCCCTATACAGGGTGTCTCAAAAATCACTCGCAATCAGGAAATGATGGGTTCCTGAGTAATTAATCATTTGAAGTAACATTTTTCTTCACACAAATGCAATCCGTGGCTTTGTTCATGAGTTATTAACGAAAAACATTGACCAATCAGAGGCGCAAGGCGGACAAGCTAATCAGCGGACGCAGATCAGTTCCGCTCACTGACCCGACCGTCTCGCGCCAGCTGATCTTGCCTCTCATTGGTCACTGTTTTTCATTAATAGCTCATAAACAAAGCCGCGAATTGCATTTTCGCTAAGGAAAAAGTGACTTGGAATAACTTCAAGAACCCCACATTTCCCGGAAGTACCATAATTTTGGGACATCCTGTATATTCATAAACAGAAGAACCAAATCTACCAATATGCAATGTTAGAACTAAATCGGTAACCCGAAGGCCTTGCCTTGCACTCTCCGAGTGCTTCCGAGATTTGGTTTTTTATAATGTCATTGCATATTTTTTATGTAAACGGATTATGTATTTCAAGGTCAATTCACATTAACGCATAACACTTCTGTCCTTGAGAATCTATCAACGTCATTTAATGCTGTTCAAAACTTCGTTAAACATACCAAAACATAATGCGAACACTCGCTAAAAAAATGTACAATTTAAGCAGCATGAAATGACCTTGAACGATCTTCAAAGACTAAAGTATTTAGGTCAATGAATTGGTCTTGAAATGCACTATCTGCTTACATAAAAAAAATATACAGTTCCAGTTAAAAAAAAAACAAGGTCACCTTGAAATATCGGAAGCGCGTCCACCCAACAAAATTTTGCGTTCCCCTCGAAAGAGGTTAAGGTTAATTTGAGTGCGTTACTTCACATAATTAAGTGCGTCACTTCACATAGGACACACAGTTAACAGCGGGGATCAATATTTGAATAAATTTATTGATATATAGGCTATTTAAAAAGTCGCTACGAACGTTTGAAGCCACTCACTAGCAGTGTGCGAGAATGAGATTTTCTCAATGTAATAGTTACCTTTTCGAATCTGCGAGAAGCAATGAAATCACATTCCGGTCCATGCCCCTTACAGTTTTTACAAAGAAGCCAGTCGCATTTTGTGCAAGGTTTTGCATTATCTTTCTTTAGCGACACGAAGCAGTTCAGACACACGGGAGCGGTAGACCAACAGGGGCCAGTCAGCAGAGGTTTTTCTTTGAAAAGGACTTCTCCAACCTTGATGTTCCTTGTGGTGACAAAGTAAGATCCCAATTCTTTGTCCTGCACTAACTTTGAAACAAAATTTTCTGGTCAATTAAGAGCATCGAGAACAGTTTTGAATTCAAATTGTAAAAGAACAACAAACTCATAGCCGGTGCCTAGGGTTTTATAAATCAATGGTTTTGCAACCACCAGTCTGCAAATAAATTATTTTTATCCACTCAACGCAAAGTATGCCCGGACAAAGGATAATATGTAAACGGTTACAAACGTATCAGATACTTATGTTACCAATAATGAACGAAAATTTTTTAATTTTTTCAATGTCCATTTAAATAATGTGCACTCGATCGTAATTAAACTATTTTAATGTCTTAGTGATAATGATACATCACTTCAACGTTGTAAGTAATCCCAACAATCAAAAGTCTATTTCGAAAATATAGTATCGAAATTTCGAAAATATAATACCGAAATTCCTAAAATATATCAATGATATTCATTAAAAGATAGCACGTTTGAAATTAGCCTTCTATGACATTTCCGGTTATTTACCCATAACGTCTTACGTTATCGATACTATTATCAGTTACTTATGAACAAAATTAATTTACATTGTTGATGAAAATAGGTACATGGTACGATAAAAAGTTAAAGGATAAAAACGTATTATTTGCAATACTATTTACTTGGAATACCATTATTCTAAATACTGTTTTGTGAAACATTACCACTTGATGAAATATTATTTTGTTTATATTTTAATGAAATATTTACTTTGGAATAATATTTCCATGTGCTATCATTAAGGTATATATTTGCAATGCTATTTCCATATCTGACTACTATTTCAAAAGAAAGTTCATTTACCAAATTCTGTATCACATGAGAAGACAAAAATATTCATAGCGTTTTTACTATTTCAAAAATCTATATTTCCCCAACCCTGCTTAACACATTCGGGCACGTGAATGTTATGGCATTCTTATTTTCATAGTGAAGCAAANTGGAATAATATTTCCATGTGCTACCATTAAGGTATATATTTGCAATGCTATTTCCATATCTGACTACTATTTCAAAAGAAAGTTCATTTACCAAATTCTGTATCACATGAGAAGACAAAAATATTCATAGCGTTTTTACTATTTCAAAAATCTATATTTCCCCAACCCTGCTTAACACATTCGGGCACGTGAATGTTATGGCATTCTTATTTTCATAGTGAAGCAAAATGACATGAATACTATGACATTGAAATTTATAAGCCGCATTATTACGCATTCATTTCTACATAGCGTTTTTTTGAAATTGTTATATACTTTAATTGAACCCTCAGATGCAAGAACGGTTTGAGGGCAGTCAAGCCCTTCTTGCGTAAAATATATAAATTGATTTTTCATTCCATTCTAAATATATCCTGAAAATTTGATTGTGGGAGCTCTAAAATTGGCGAAGTTACAGAAAATATTGTATCGATGTACGACGTTCACGAATAAGGTTGATTGCCAAGTAAATATCTTCTGGTATCTTTCTGTGCATTATGAATAAACAATTGTGCTAAAAATCGGAGAAATGGTGTCTTCAAGTTCAGAATACGACAGTGAACCAACTCCATGAAGATCTACAAACTTTGATCGAAGAAAACTTCATCAAGAGGATATTTGCAAACGTAATTATAGTGAAAGACGGAGAAATCAGGCGATGTCATATGAAAATTCAAGTGGACAGATTGGAAATAAGAAGATTTTTAATTCAGTCGTTACATTACGCTAATATTCATTTTGCATGCCATACAAAATTGTATGTTAATTTTCATAAGCAGCAAAGTAAATCTCTCCGGGACCTCTATTTATTAGGATGCATTGTGTCAAAAGAGATTAAATCTAGGAATATTAACCCAAAATAGAAGCCGTATGAAAATCTGTGAGAGTATTTTGTCACGTGTAATCGGCCTAGATTCATTGTTTGTCGAAAATTTTTGCTTCAACTTTTTCAAATATCTGTATAAAGACTTCGCATTATTCAACTAAAAGTGATCGCAACTTTGTATTATATTCAAAGAAACTGAAAAAGTTGGGCAGAGTTGCGATTGGAAAGCAGAAGTTATTTACGAAAAGGGCAGATTTTGAACTTCTTTTTAACAGAAGAAACCTACAGCAAAGGGCAAGCGCTTTACGATACAGAAATATGACCGTATTAAATATTCAACTTGCGGCAATATTCTTCCTAGTTCATTCTATAGTGCTAGCTGTGAACAATTCTCATTTCTTTCCAAGATGCAACAGATTTCCAACTGATTTCGCAATGCGGATTTCAATCGCACCAAAGCAAATCGGGAACGCTAGAAGACATTAAAAATTGGCATGATTTTTTGAATGAAGAAGAAGTAAATTTGATTGAAGAGCGATTTAAGAACAATTTATCAGGAGATACACAATCTGTAGACTTTGATTTTGGATGAATCAAGTAATATTGAAAATATTATAGACGAAGCTGAATAAATTGAAGCAGATAACGAGTACTCCTTCATCTTTATGTTACGAAATTATAATCTTTCTAATATCAAACGTGTACATATTCTCCAATATTATATAAAAATCATAAGCAATAAAAAACAATGTTAACAAATATCATTTTTTACCACACAAAGCCTGAGGATACTATAATCAATAATTGTCGTATAAAATACATTTATTACGTAATTCATGTTATACCAAAGAAATGAAAAGGAGAAAAATTGAAGTTATAAATATCCTAAAGAATTTTAAAACAACTTCGCTAGGTACAAGAAATCGGACCCTTCTTACAAGCAGGGGTTCAATTTAATCTGTATCGACGTGAATGCTATAGCGTTCATTGTATATGTATAACTATTAAAATGTGATGTTCTGAGTATTTGGTCTAAATGCGACTATGTTTATAGCCCACTAAAATGTTTTACTGTCCGACAACGTGTTAAGTTATTCATGAATCATTATTACTTGAATACTTAGTCATCGTAATCATTTATCATGAATATGATTTCACATTACACGCAATCATTAATCAGATTACTTTTTTCGCAAATCTGATTTCTACCACGGACGCTTAATATTATTTGGAGTCATCAAATGTATATGGCGGGAGTATTCGAACGATGGAAATATTACTATCAAAATATAATGCTGTGTAAATGCAATTCGATAATTTCATCAGCATAAATATTCTTGTATGTACATTTATTTAACTTTTCATGTGTGTGCTATTATTTCTGTTAATTATAATATTCCAAAGAATTGATTAAAAAATATTTGATTTCTCTCTCTCTCTCTCTCTCTCTCTCATTAATATTATATATATATATATATATATATATATATATATATATATATATATATAT